CCCCCCCATAAGATTTGAAAATCATAACCTGGTATTAGCACCACTGTCCAGCAGATAGTGCTTAGGGATCATTAAAGTACAATTAACCCTTAAATGGAACATGAAATACGAACACAGACAACTCAGTGTCCTAAAATCAAAGTCTAACTTTATTAGTATGAGTTTCTTAGCAGTTTCTATATTCAGAGAGAAAAAAGTTAGTAGAAAAATCTCACGCAACCCCAGATGTTACTTTGCTCAGCAGAGAAGACAGCCACTCGGTTCCTAAAGCAAAGTGTATGTCGTTGGTTGGGATGGTCCAGACAGGTGTTGAAGGCTGGATTTATGGTGACAATGATGACAACAACGACACAGACCTAACTTTCTTGCTGCACCTTTTATGCTTTTCCTTAACTTCACTCCTTTGATGGTGCCTGCCTTTCAGCTAGGTCTCTTTGCAGTCAACATATTGTTCATATTTTATCCTGTCAGCATATTCCTTTGTTCAACAGACCCATCATGAGCATGCCTCTTAATTTGGGCTTTTTCCTGTGTCTTACTTTGGGCATTGTCCATTGGTCTTCCTTATCACCTTTTATTAACATATCCAATCATTTCATCCCTCTGATTCATCCAGTTAGTGCTAAATTCAGTTAATTTGAGCTGGTAACAAAACTATCACTATGTTGTGTTAGAAAAGCTTCTCATAGCGATAGAAAAGGTAAGAAACATCATGCGAGCAAACTCAAGGCCATAAGCTCCTTGCAAGAGGCAAGACCAGCTGATATTGCAGAAAAGTTCAGATAACAAAGAGGCTATAAAGAACTTAAGCAATGATTAAATAAGCCTAAATGTAAAAAAAACAACTTTAAACAATACTGTAATTCACCACTCTATAAACAGGTGCAACTTTAAAGCATAAAATATGACAAGCTATGCCCTAACACTGGGGGGGCTCCAATTTTATTAGGGCAACATGATGGACAGCCCAATTTTTTTTGCAGACCCCAAGAGTCAGTGTAATTTGAACCCTGATAACACCTGATCTTGATTAGTGGATTCTCCTGGAGAAGCCTCCTGGAAACCCTCGATTTGCATACAGCTTCTGGAAGAAGGACCAGATCTTGCCTGTGTTGGTGATCAGTGTGATTTCGGCTCTCTCCCATGACCTCCCTGGAACAATCCCGCTCTTCTAATTTAGCTGGAACATGCCACTTTCTTTGGAAATAAAAAATCTCTCTTTTATACACTTTTTTTGAGCTTGACCTTTTCTGAAACCATGACACAGCGTTAACCCACGTGTGCAGCCGAATTCTGGTGCCGCTCATGCAGCTCCTATGGCTGCAAAGAGACAGTCAATTCACCCGGCTGCACATCTCAGACTCTACGTCTCCGAGGAACGTGCAACGCGGAGGGCGGGGCCTGTTAGCAAGCCCCGCCCCTGGCGAGGCGCAGAAGGGGTGTTCTGTGGAGCTTGTGACGTAGCGGGGGGTCCAAGCCCTACCCCCAGGCGCGCGGTGAGACGGTGAGTCAGCCGCTGGGGCGTTGCGGGGTGGGGGGGGCAGCTGCGCGAGCCAAGCGGTGCCCAGCGCGTCCCCCGCCGAGGGGACACACCACGGACAAGCACCGTCTGCGTACGCGCGCGGTGTTGAGGCCGCCAGGTCAGGCCAATTCGCGCTCTCTCGCCCCCGCGCTCGGGGCCGCTGCGGTGAACAGCCCAGCCAATGGCGTGGCCCGCCCGGGCGGCGCATGCGCAGCCTCACACCCAGCGGCCCCGCCCCGTCGCGGGAGCGTGGGGCCACGTTGCGGGCGCGTGAAGGCGGGGCGAGCCGTGAGGAACTGCCTTCGCGGCCGTTACCGTGACGCGGTTTGAACGTGTGGCGAAGTGACGTCATCGGCTCGAAGGGTCGAGTCACGTCTCAGGGGCGGGGGGGGGCCCCCCCGCCGTGACCGCCTGGCACCCCAGCGGACTCGAAGTCCGAGGGCAGAAACACAATTGGCCTTTCATGTTCTTTTTTCAATCTAATTGGAGCTGGGATATGAAAATGCCTTCATTAGGATCAAATAATCGCATCATGGCACCCTGGGTGCAGTTGCTGCATTGCCATATCACGTGGCACTTGCAGGTGAGCAACCTGAACTTCAGCGTGTTCACTTTGTGAGAGATTTCAAGCAAGGCCTTTTGATGTGCCAGCAAGGATCATGGGCCAGTGCCTGCCAAGTAAAAGTATAAGCTGCTCTTTAATAAGGGAGGCCACTAAGAGGACATCACTGACTGCTTGGGATAACTGAAAAAGGAAATGAGGACTGGAGTGAGGGGCAAAGGTTGATACCAAGTGCCCCATTTAAAAGAGCAAGGGCCCAGCCCACCAAGTCACTCATTGGTCTCCTGTAGGTGGGGAGGTCACAGGAAAAGAGGACAACAGAATTTGTGGGACAAAATGAAAAGAACAGGGATGGTAGTGCAGGTCAGAGGGTTAAAACAAGCATGCCAAGTAGGGCCACTGAGCAAAGCACACCGGACAGTGCCCGCTGGCCCTCAAACGAGCTCAAGGAGCCAGTGGACCAGGGGTGGGCAAAACGCGGCCTAGGGGCTGGATGCGGCCCACCAGGCCATTCTATCCGGCCCACAGGGCCCCTAAAAAATTTAGAAAATTAATATTAATCTGCCCTGGGCTGCCTGCCATGCGGCCCTCGATGGCTTGCCAAAACTCAGTAAGCGGCCCTCTGCTCAAAATAATTGCCCGCCCCTGCAGTGGACACTGCCCAGTGATACTCCCCTCAGAGACATGAACAGATGAGGGACAGGAAAATGGCCCCACAGTTCACCAGGTGTTCTGTTACAGTTTCCTTTTTGCTGGTTAAGTAGACTGCTAGCTTGGCTAGGGCCAGGGAGAGGTTGACCAGGACGTCCTGGGACTTGGTTAGTGCATGGATGGGGAGTGGTTTAGCGAGAACCCAAGCAAGAGGTTCTGGAGGAGACAGTGAAAGGGCAGCAGCCGGCACACGCCAGGTAGGCATGTGCCAGGGTATCCCTCTGCTCACAGAAGGAGCAGGTATCAGGGGTGTCCGAGATTCATGTCAGAAACACACCCATGATGGTGGCTTCAAGATCACTGGTGGCTTGCGGCATCAGGGAGGAATACAGGTTCATATACCTGGGACCCTTGCCAAGGGTGTTCCACCACTTGGTGTCTGGGTGGGATGCAAGGATGGTTTGGAGGATGCAGACCATGAGTGTGTAGAGCTGGCGGCAGTGAACTTTACAAAAGTGGACAGTCTTGGTATTCACCAGGCCACTGAGATAGTGTGGTAGGGAGTGCTCTGGGGCCTGCCTAGGCAGAGACTCTACAACGAGCTCCAGGTGGCTGAGGCTACTTGGTGAGCAGAGACTGACCTTGCACAGAACCTGGTTGATGTAGGTGAGAGCAGTGGGTGACAGAGAGGCCTTGACCTCTTGGATTAAGTGGCAGGGCGCACAGTTTTGTGGTGATGGGTTTTTTGGGTCTTATGGCAATGGTGGTGGTAGTTGTGTAATTTGTTTTACTTTAAGACACAACTCCCAGTTTTATGTTTCCTTCACTGACAGAGGAATATTGCTGGGTATTAAACTCTTCTGCTAATTTGATCTCTTCTGTTTTTAGGTGTCTAGGTTTATAGTTGCAACATAATGGCTGTCTCCATAAAAGAATGCCTTGAGCTTCAGCTGTTGGAGATGGAAATGCTTTTTTCAATGTTTCCTAATAAAGGAGAAATAAACCTTCGGGACCAAAATGCTCTTACCTGCATACAGCTCTATTTGAAGAACACAAAGGAAGAGCTACCACCTCAAATTGACTATTCGGTTTCTGTTAACATAGACGAGCCAAAGGTGAGAATTTCCACTTACCTTTTGTGTTAGTTAACCATACATATTTCTTAAATTTTCACTTAAGTAGTTTAAAAAAGGATGTTTCATACATTTTGGTATAGCCAAATGCACTATTAAAAGTATGCTCAGGGGTCTTGTTTCAACTGGAATTTATCAAAAAAACATGGCTTTACTGTTTGCACAAAGGTAGTGATTATAGGGTGAAGGTAAACATTACACTTAGATGATAATAAATCTTTGGACTATTAAGCAGTGTTAAAGTTGGAAAATGCTGTGAGCAGTCACAGGCTAAGGGTTAGTATAATTTCTTGCTTGCACAGCTCTGAGTTGTCACTAGAGGGCTGGTGAGCAGGGGCATGGCTATGAGCCTGGACACCTGGGTTGTATCTGTGTTCAGGGGGGAGGAACAAATACATCTGGCAAAATAACCCACTGGGGTGGTGAGCAATAAGGGCAAGTTAGTGTCAGGCTCACTCTTAGCATAGGTTTACTGTATACTGAGAGGTGGACATGCCAGCCTTGAGTTTTGTTGAGGTAATTACTGATATACACGAAAGAATCAGATTTAAAAGTTAAAAATATGAACAGAGATTTATTGAGAAGACAGTAGGGAATATTAACACAGGTAAGGGACAATAACAGCTAAATAGATGTAAATACAGAGAACAGACAGGTACAATTTATACTTTACCAATATCGGAGTATTAAACAGAAAGCAAAGTCAAGATCAATCTGATAACAGTCTGAACTGAAGTTGAGAGGAAGCCAATCCACGTCAGGTTGAAACCAGATGATCTGAGACAAATGCGTGAGATTGGGCTCTAGTGCACTGTATCTCATTCCCTCCACGGGGTAAGCTACCATTTGCACTATGGCTCACAAGCTATCACAAGACTGAATCAAAATACCCGAATGGAACCAAACTCATTCACGAACCACAAACCACACACACAACCTCTCTTTCATTCAAATATTCACAGCAATACCACACAAAGACAGGCCCTCCCATACACCACCACACCTCTCAGAATCCTCACTTACACACCATGCATTTCCGTACACTCGCACTCCCTTACCAAAGTTCCAGATTTTTATATGCCACAATCGCCCTTTTCTTAACAGCCAATCCTCCGAGGCAAAGGTCCTATCACTCATTGTCAATCATGTCAAATCCGATCATATTCTCTCACAAGATACATTCCCCTGTCAATCATACCCTGTCCACAGGCATTCCCTCACTTGTGCATGTCCAGCTAGTAAATTGGGCCAGTAGGTCAGGAGTTCATTCATTCTGGAGGCTCCCAGGGAATGGCAGTTCCATAAACCATCCTTACAACATAGATTAACCCTATAAACATTGGAAAAAACTTTCTTCTCCAACACTAGGATGCTGGAGGATTGCAGATTGCTTGTTTCATGTCTGTGGAGCAGACCGCAGTTATCCTAACATAAGTTAGGTGGCCTGTTAACCCTTGCCTGAAAGGGTGCAACTTTGAGACACTCAGAGAGCATTAAGCAGATCCCAAACTGTGGGTCACAACCCCAAGTGCGGTTGCAACATCAGCAGATGGGATTGCAAAAACGTGTCCCCTGAGATTTCTCCACCCACAGTGACACGTGGGGCTGCAGCCGGGTCGTACCAGCTCCAGGCAGGAGCCACCTCTACAGCCCAGAGGGTGGGACCCATTGTGGGAGAGTGCTGTACCACTATGGCTGCCAAGATGGGGGGTGGCAGCAGTGTGGAGATGTGCCCATGCTGCTGCTGGCTGAACAGAGGGCGCCTCAGATTGGCAGCCATGGTGGTGCAGTGCTCCTTCCCTCCTGCACCAGGTCCTGCCCACTGGGCCGTGAAGCCCCTGGGGGGAGGGTAGCTGGGTGGGGAGCCCCAAGCCTGCAGCCTGCATCCTCCCCACCACCCTTGCCTCCCATGGGCTTTGTTCTAGCAGTGCTGCTCACAGAGGAGGGAACAGCACGGGGTTGGGGGGAAAGCCAGGCTCTGCATTACACTGGCCGCCACCTCCCACGGGTTGCAGCCAGGGCTCAGGCACTGCTGTGGGGGCCAAGGGGCTATGGGCGGAGAGTGGGGGGCTATGCTGAGGAAATGGGGTCATAAATGGGGTCACGCTGAAGCAAAGTTTGGGAAGCAGTGGCTTAGCACAAATTAACGAGTTTTAATGTGTAGATACATTTCAAATGCCCTTAGTATGGTATAAATGTAACATACAACTTCACCTGTGAGCTATAGGTTTCTTGAGCTTTTCTAAGCTTTGGGCTTTCTGATTCTGCTGGTTGGCATGGAGAGCAACAGACATCTTCAGAGGTCCTTTCAATTTTTAATTCTCATTTTGCTACATCTATTGGATTGTGGCAGGCTGGAGCTTAGGGGAACTTTTGGTATCATGGCTATTTGGTCAGTTCTATCCTCCATACAGAGGAAATAGACTAGTGTATGAAGGGCTTGGGGATCCATTTGAAATCATTCCTTCTATAATTTTTTGCATGCAAGGCCCTTGAAATGCATAAACGTATTTTGACAGCCCTCAGCCTGTTTTTAACATTATAGCTGAGGATGAGGCAATGCCATTCCAGCATTTTTAAGCATCATCAGTGAAAATAGTGCTTAAAACCTAATGGTATATTTGTATTCTGAAAGATTTTGAACATTCACAACTGTTGCTAATTAATGACATAAAGGTGGCTGTCACTTTTCAATAATTTTCTTTCCTGGAACCCCTCTTCCCCTGCCTTTTTTTTTTTGGTTGTGGGGGTGGGGAGGAGGTTACATCTGTAAGTAGCCAATTTTATTTTCTTGTCACTTCTGTCCTGTGCCACCACTGCTGAGCCTGGATGGGCAAACCCAGAGCAGGCATGGGGCACGCGGGATCAGGGCTGTGCATTTGGGTCCCTGCCAGTACTATGGGGCTGAGGCCTATGGTGGCAGGAGCCGGAAGGAGTCACCGCCACCTGGGCTGCCTAGAAAGGCAGGCCAGCTATGAAGCTGGCCCAGCCCAGGTGGTGGCAGGATGTGCCACAGGTCAACTGTGCCTGGGTCAGGCGGGACCAAGGGACTTGCAGCGGGCTAAACAAAGATCTGCTTTGGGCCCAATTTGGCCCACAGGCTGTATTTTGCCCACCCCTGCTATAAACCAAGCACCCTTTTGTGCTAGCCACTGCACAAAGTTGATCCCTACTGTGAGAGCTTATAATTTAAGCATAAAACAAGAGACAACAGATTCATACAGATATTGTGTCAATACAAGGAAATGACACAACATTAGTTTTGCATACACACCACATAACCATTTTCAAGATTTGTATAGACATCATGGCAAAGAGGAGTTCTAAGGAACAGCTGGGATGCATATCAGAAAGCCAGGGGGGTGCAATGTCTGTAAAGTGAATCTGATACCAGAATTCAGACATCCACTCAATAAATTAAACATATTTAAGACACTTGACAGAAATTTATTCAAATGGTCTTGTGTCCCTAAAAAATGATGTAACGCTAAAAAAAAGAATGGTTATGCCATCCTATTATTACAAATGCAGAAATGTTTTGATACTGCACCAGTTTGAGTTAAACTGTAACCTTAGCTAGTCATTTAAACTCAAAGTGTGATTGAGAAATTTCTGTGTTTTAAGGTAATGCCTTTTTAACACATTCTTTGTCACTCTGGTACAGACTACTTTAGGAAAATTGAGTCGCAATTCTGAGGTTTAAAGAGAATTCACTAATTGTCATAAAAGCAAGTGATTATTTACTACTGATGTCTAAAAAGTCATCTGAAAGGATGCGAGTTGCAAATGTTTTGGTCCCTTAGCCCATATACTCAGAAGAACACTGCTTTTGGTAGTAAAGTGGAAATAGCCTGGTAACAAATCAGAATAACTGCAAACGCCTATATTACTGTATTCAAATACTAAATACACTCCCAAAATTTCATGTTTGGGGATGTTGTTCTGCATTTTTGTCTGTCGGGTTCTTTTGAGAATTGACTTAGGAATATCTCACTCATTTATACAATACGTAGTTCAAAGATGTCCATTGTAATAATCGGTCAGCCTAAAATATTCTCACCTGTATGTCTTAAGAGAAGCCTGCTCTTTAATCACAGGTGGCACCCAAATTGTATATGGAGAACAAGAGGGTTTCAGATACCTGACATTTTCTTTTTGCCAGAAATCAGGAGTCACACCGATTAGCAATGGTATTAAACCGCTACAATCCTTTTTGCAGCATATGTTACTTGTCTTCTTTCCCAGTTATTCATGTGCAAGTCACAAAATCTCTCTGTCACATAGCATGAGGGAATGATTAGGAAAAATAGCTGAGAGTACTGAAAACTGTCATGCTTAGAGCTTGCCATCCTGCTACCGCAGAAACACAGCAATAGTAGGATTCTTGAAAGTCACTAAACCTTGACTTCTTACTGCAGTTGTAGCTTACATTGACTTCACAAGCTAGTAACACAGCCCAGAAATAGAAGAATGTGGCAGGGATATCTTCTCTTCAAAAGTAGCCTTTTGAGGCAGGAAGGATCAAAAAAAAAAAAAAAAAAAAAAAAAAAAAAAAAAAAAAAAAAAAAAAAAAAAAAAAAAAAAAAAAAAAAAAAAAAAAAAAAAAAAAAAAAAAAAAAAAAAAAAAAAAAAAAGTAAAAGAAACTATGGAAAAGAAAAAATATGCCATGTTTCCTAACCTGGTAATTTTATGTCAATACATCCCCACAAAAATTTTCCCGGGCAGAAGGAGAAGAATGAAGGGAGGGCACGTTTGCTTGAGGTGGATGAGAGGAGTAACAGAGTCTTTGCAGAGTAAGAACAGAGACATAGAACACACCAGCACCAGCAAGTACTCACCTGAGGCAGAGAGCTCCATTAGTGACTTTCTAAACCAGGGTGGCCAACACGTGGCATGGACAGCCAGTGTGCGACACCTGGAGGATCAGTAAGGAAACAGGTAGCGCAGCAGTAAGTAGGGCAGAAAGCAGAAAACAAAGCAGCAAATTAGGCAGGGAGCACAAGAAGGAAACACCAGAGCAACAGACAAACCAGGAGCACAAGACTGAGTGGCAAGAACAGAGCAGCAGATCAGGGAGGAAAAGGGGATAAGAGTGGTATATGGAGGGTGTGAAGCTAAATGGTGGCATGCCTGCCAAAAACCTTGGCCCTCGCTACTGAAACTATCACAGCTATTACTGTTCATAGCTATCATGGTAGAGTCATTCCTTTGTAGAGCCTAATTTGTGGTTCTGAAAAATCCTGTAATTAACATGCACTTCAGTCGTAAATCTGATTGTTTTTTCTTTCCTTCTTTAAGGTAAAAGTAGATTTGCAGGTAATCTTGCCTCACACGTACCCTTATTCTGCACCACAGCTGTTTGCAAGATCAAATGCACTAGACAGAGAGCAACAACTGCAGCTTAACAAGCATCTCACTTCTCATGTCAGTTCTTTGAATACAGGAGAATTGTGCATATGTACAGCTCTGCAGTGGATTCAAGACAATACCACACCTTACTTCCAAAAAAGAAAGGTCTGTTCTGAAGCAGCTCCAAAAGAAAAGGCACTTAGAAGAACATTTCATAGAATGTGGATCTATAGCCATCATATATATAGGCAGGAACTGAGAAAGAAGATTTTTGATTGTGCAAAGCAGTTAAATCTGACTGGTTTTTGCCTGACAGGAAAACCTGGTATCATCTGTGTGGAGGGGATAAAAGAAAGCTGTGAGGAGTTCTGGCATGTTATTAGATATCCCAACTGGAAACACATTTCATGCAAGCATGTCGAGAACATAGAAACTCAGGGTAATGGGGATAACCTTAGACTCTTCACTACTTTTGAAGATTTACAGTTTCAAGCACATGGTGATTATGGACTGAAGAATGACTATCACATGGATCTTGGCCAATTCCTAGAATTCCTGAAACAACATCAAAGTGAACATGTTTTTCTGATCCTGTTTGGTGTTGAAGGCAAACAGTCAGACAACTAAATCTAGTTCCATGAACAGTTTTAATGTTGTGCAGCTTAATATAAAAATAATTGTTAATGTCCTCCATAGATATACTGTAATAAAAGTCAATACACTGTGTTTTGCAACCATTAACAATAAAGGACCTGTGTAACATAGGGAAAGCACAGTGTATTTTTCCATCTGTTCTAAACACCTCATAACACTTCTGAAGTGCATAAACTAGTGTATCTAATGCTATATGTCATCATTTCCCACCTTTTCCATCCCATGGCACACTTACATGAATAAAAAAACATTGCAGCACACTGGATGCAGAGCGGGGTGGGGGGAGGAGCATGGCCAGACACGGAGTGCTGGGGGGGAGCGGGGCACAGCACCTGAATCACTGGCTGGAGCCACCCCCTCCTCCCCAACAGTACACCAGTGTGCCACGACACACCCGTTGGGAAATGCTGCTTATACGTGATAGCAAATAATCAACATTTGTAATTCCCACATAGTCTGATCACACACTTTGTTATTCTGAATTATAAAGTCCATTTTGTCACTTCTGTGTCACATGGTAGTTTTTCAGGTCTAAGCTTGTAATAATTGTGTGTATAAAACTGAGGAAATGGACTATGAATGGAAACTATCTTCAAGAGTAGGTAGAATACCATATACGTATTCACAAATATCTGCTTTAAATTTATTTGAAGTAAAATAAACCTTTAAATGGAGGTTTTTTTGGTTTTGAAAATAGCAAATATATTGGCAATAAAAATTACAGCAGTATTTCAAGATTTTCAATATGGAAATTAAGATGACTTTTCTTTGCTTACTCAGGAAAATGGTCACTGTTGTTTGTATAAATGTATTTTCAGCCAGTACTCTGAAAGGTATGGTAAAATGAAAAATGCTGTCACTGTCTAATACTTTGTAATGAAAGGAAGAGAAAAAAAAGTAAATGGCCCTAATCTTTCTAGATTTACCATCTGGTAAAATAGGCTCTAGCCTATAGAAGCTTGTGCTTCTCTGAACCAATTAATTTCTAACCATGATGTCCAAACTTCCAGCCTTATGGGTTGCACGAGTAGTACAGGATTAGTCTACAAACTTGATCCCCTGCAGGGTCATTGTGTGAGGTTAGTCCATGGGTGCAATCCAGCACATCAGCCTGACCCTGTGTGCAGATCTGGCTGCAGAGCAACCCTGGATGCCAGTGCGATTTAGCACATGCAGCCATGGTATCTGGCCCATGGGTCTAGAAATTTGGCAGCAGGGGAATGGCAATTAGTGTTACCTCCGCTTCCCCATCACCAAATTACCTGTAGGGAGCCTGCATACCAGAGGTCGAGCAGCCCTGGTCTGTAAACACACTACAGTGCCCTGCCTTTTGCTTGGCTTCAGACTAACAAGCCTACCAATAATTGTGATAATTCTGTAGCAGCTTACTTCAGGCTATCAGGTATAATGTGATTGTATTGATGCATGTGCTTTGCATATAAAATGTAAACCGACTGGCATATTGACAAAATTAGAGTTGCACCAATACGCAGGTCCATATTGTATCGGCAGCTTGGAGAGCAGCATCCAGCCAGTAAGTCTGTAGTGGGAAAGGGGCATTGGGGGGGGGCGCAGATCGAGGCCTCCATGGTGAGGGAGGGAGGGAGTGGGGCTGGGACAGGTGCAGGTGCTGCACAGCGAGGGTGGGGTGGGGCAGGGCGCAGGATGGAGCTGCAGCTCATCTGGGGACCAGGGGCGGCTGCCACTGGTGTGTGCATGGAGGCACATGCCTTCCGGATCTGCGCATGGGGCGTGGGCAGGCTGCCACTGCACTCAGAGCCAGGGGCTGTTTTGGCCTCTTTTCGGCAGGGGGAGCTGGACTGGGGCTGCACTTGGGGCTACAGCCACCCTAAAATATTGTAGCCTCCCCACTCAGCACCACTGCCACCTACCCGTCTGAGCGCAAACCAAGGCCCAGCCTCCACCCCACACTGGGAAAGGCTGGCACCACCTCTGGCCCCAAGCTCTCAGTGGCATCCTGCCCTCGCCCTGCGTATAGATTGGGGGGGCGTGCCCCCCATGACTCCCCCAGGGGTGCATGTACCCCCCATAACCTCCCTGCTCCCTCCAGACAAGCCACTGCTCTGCCATGTGCCCCTCCCCAACCTGGTTGTGCAGCACCTGCCCCAGCCCCACTCCCTCCCTCACTATGGGGGCCTCAATCTGCACCCCCCCATGCTCCTTCCCCTTCCTCCCCCCCCTGGACTAACCAGCTGGACTCTTCTCTCCAAGCTGCCGGGCTGAATATCAGCAATTGGATTGATATCCGCCATCAGTATTGGCCCAAAAAATCTTTATCAGTGCACCCCTAGAGATAGTGTCTTCTTACTACTGTTACGATGTCAGTAGACACTTTTAAAATAAAGTATCGTGAACGGGCTCTGAAATAAATCCTGTTCATAAGAACTCAAGCAGTGGTAGGGAAGTTAAAAGTAATGGACGTGGCAGTGATGCCCAGAAATCTTCACTGAGATGGGTATGGAACCAGTTTTGCATTCAGGATAGTTGAAGTTTTAAGCCGATATATTAAAAGAAAAGGATATATGTGATGTAGATGTTATTTAAATCCTGACTTGTAAATGCCATTTTATATTAGTTAATTCAGAATAATGTAGGTGATAACAGGAACCTCAGTGTCCATAGGAGGCAGAAATATGTCATTGCTAGGTATGAACTTTCATGACAGGTTGACAGCTCAAAAATGAAGATTACGAAACAAATTATGAAAACATTGATTCAGCTGAGAGTGTGCGTGTGTGTGCATGCATACCCAGCATTGTCAGTGAATGCTTAAAGACTCCTATAGACACAATGTCAAAGAATTTAAAATGACCAGTTATTGAATTGACAACCAGACAGTAGAAAGGAGCTTGATGTTTAAATTAATGGCAAAAAACAAACCATAACAATTTGTTTCCTTTTTTTTTTTTTTTTAATGTATTTATTTATTTTTTTTTAAAGATGGGGGCTTTTGTCTTTAATCATTTTTCCTTTTGGCAGGCTGGAAATTGGTTACAAAGATGAAAATGTTATCTTCTATAGTATGTGTTGAACACATCCTAGCCTAAAATATTCATACACTGCATGTGAAATAGTTCATATTTCAAATGCATACGGTGCATATTAAATGGTGTAGTACACAGATTCATAGGTAGCCTGGTAGGCAGCTGGAGAATGTCAGTGAGCCTGTCTTTATTTAAAAAGAGCCCTATTCAAAACAGTGTACCGTGTTTTATCAGCTACTGCAGTTGAAGGATTTTCATGAGTTGAATCAAGAGCTAATATTTCATACATTATTTTTACTGAAATGAATGAGCATTAACTTCTGCTCTCATAAAAAAAAAACAGAACAAAAATGATCTTGGGCAGCTGCATAAAGGGGCTAAATACATATTCTTTGAAAGGTTCAATAGCTTTAAATCTAAATTTAAAAAAAAAAATCACCTAATTTAATTTGGCTTTTATGGATATTAGTACCAAGCTGTCAATGATTTAAGTGAAAAAGATGGGGTCCTTTACTATAATTTATGATGACATACTTCAGTGCACTGTATCACATACTTCTTTATACCATGTGTAAACAACAGAGTAACATATTACAGCGGAAAGCCATAAATAAAGAAATGAAACAGTTGCCCCACATTTGTTGCCCGTCAATTTTTATTCTTACATGTATAGTTACCTTATCTGCTAAATTAATTTGAATACAATTTCTAAGCAAAAATTCCAGTTTTTAAAAGTTCTGCATCTTAAAAAACTAGTAATTCTTAGATTGAACAAGCAGGGAAAATACTAAGTCTTTGAATTATTTTAATTTCTAATACATTGCTCATTTTCTATTAAGTTTGTATTTTCATGGCTTCCTCAGGCCAGGCATAAGATTCAGCCATGAAGTCTTCATAATCAGTGCTGTAGACCTGAGAGCGAATCAATGCTTCCTTGTCTTTGGGCTCAGGATAGAAAGAGGCTGTGTTATTGCTGTAGGCTTGTTCTGCAATCTGAAACAGACACAGAAGTTCACAAGGACTTTTGATACAGCATTTCAATGAACATAACAGGCTGTAAGAGCAGAAATAATGACAGCTTAGACATCAGCACAAGACTCCAGATTCTTTGCAGGTGTAAAATGGACAGACTGATATCGCTGACAGACTGTGGCATCTGGTCCAATATATCTGTGCCCATTTTCTGCATAGTGAATGCTTATATCCATTGCCAGGATTCATAGCCATACTGTTTTTGCTCTCTTGAAGAATTATCCATCTGCCGTTGTACTCTGTAATCGTTCTCCCCAATCCAATAACATCCTAGCTTTTAAAGTGCAGCAATGGGTAAAATATACCCTACTACCACAAGCAAAGTTAAATGTAAAATCTTTGCTTTTTTGATGGAACTAGCTTCTTCTCCATGGAGATGCTGTCTTTGTTACTTTTGGTGACTGTTAGCAGGGCTTATATTTTCTTCACCCATCACAAGAAATTTTTTGCTTTGTTTTGCCCAGTAGCAACTGCAGGGGGGAAGAGGGGTGGGAGGCAGGAGAGACCAAGGCAGCAGCCTCAGGCACTACCTTTGGGGTGGTGGGAATACAAAAATAGCCACCACTCCTGGTGGCTGGCTTCACAGCCGATGCCAAGAGCAGAGCCATCCTGTTACACCTCCAGTTTTGTTCAAAGCCTTAACACTCACTACACATGAGAACTGCTACTAAGATTTATCACAGTCAGTAATTCGCTCAAAAAAGCTGAATTACTAAGAAAGGCAAATGTAAAAGCAGCTTGCTGCTTTTATTTTAGAAATGTTTAAGGAAAGCATCCCTTCACAATTTTTGTTTCTTTTCACCCTATAAATACCTGGCCCTGAAAGTTTCCAAACCCTCCATAGCAAGTTGAATGAACTGCACCATTAACAAAGTATGCACTGCTGCTGAAAAAACTGAGTTTAGAAGGAACTGCAGCCCCAAGCATTTCACAGCAGGCTCAGAGAGGAGATCATTGGCCCAAAGAAATCTACAGAGTTCCACCTGGTCATCCATCTGCACCTTTATTAAATACAGGCTTGACTCCCCAGTCATAGGCAGCAGCCTTTTTTGGCAGGAAGATGCTTCAAGCTTTATTCTCAGTTCAGACAAAGCCTATTACTTTTGGAGGAAAGAAAGCTATCCTTTTATTTTTGACCTGGCTTCTTCTATATGCTAATTAATGTTTTAACTTTGGGGAGAGTTTTAGGTCCCAAGTGCAAAAGTTGTTTCTTTGCTTCCTCTGACCTTGATCGTATTCTGCCCTATGTAACAAATTTGGGGCATATTTCTAGGACAGTTGCTCTTAAGATCTATGCATTTTAGCACCTTTAGATAAATCCCTCTTAAACTGTAAATCCCTAACAAGAATTTTGTATCTCAGCACATCTACAAAAAGATTCAATTAGCATAAGGGCAGAAAGCTAGAGCTAAGCCCCAGAGGCTGTGTACAAACCTGAACTCTTTAGGAAGAAACTTACGCCCAATTTCTCTACATTTTATTTGACAGAGAAATGAAGTCACCAGGTAACAAACTGTCCATTTTAAATCAAATTGGGTTATCTATATTAAAAAGATAATTATGTCACAGTCAGAGGAGAAGAGTTACCAGCACTGTTTTGGAAAGGATTTGCCAACATAAAGGCAATTTGATTTTAGCTTGAGAAGTCTGCATGGAAATGTTTTGACAGCTCTGGAAATACAGCTATCATCACCCTGAAAAGAGGTGAACTACAATGAGTTTTATTACATATAGTTGGGATCCTGTTACCAAATGAGTCAAAGGGAACTATTCCATAGCAGACTATACTGTTTTTTCTGAAAAGATATTTAGTAAGTGACATTGTCTATAACAAGATGACCCACTCAAGTGATAATACTGAGAACTGAAACAATAGGCATATGACAGACAAAAAATAATATATCCCACACAAAGAGACTGGAACTGGGGTAAGTTTGTTCTTTTCCAAGGTGTTTTGCAGGGTTGTCAAACATGGGCTATCCAGTTACTTTGGGACTCATCAACTGCAGCTACAGTGCAGCCATTTTGGCAAAGCACATGCATGAAAAACCCACACTTGCTTTTACAAAAACTGTTTGTTCTGATAGATAGGAAAGACCATAATAAAATAGAGCTATGACAGGACAAAGAAAGGAGAAAACTAGTATACATGAAGGCATCCATTGTCCCAAAAGGCAACTTACTGAATTGTGAAGAACAGAGAACAACTGACAGTGCATTTCATGGCTCTTAAATCTATGGACCAAGTCCCATGAAGAGCATGTGAAATTTGCTGGTAGGTGATGTCTGTAGTCTCTAGACATCATTCTGCTTTAATCACCAGCAGTTAAACATTAAGCATATCATACTTCCATCTTCTTCCCTTGGAGTATATATACAAATATATATACACAATGTGTGTTTCTCCATGTCACCCTACATCACCGTAATGTGTTACTGCAGCAATGTAGGGTGACATGGGTCTACATGTGACCAGCAGCTACTTCACCATAGCAGTGCACTACCCTATTTTAGCATGCTGCTACAATGAATAGCGGTGAAAATTAACAGTGTGCCTGTTGGAAATACTAAAGCACGGTGCAGTAACAAATTTGCCATAGGGTGACATCTAGACCAGAGCTTTCCAAACTGTGTGCCGCGACACATTAGTGTATCGGCGGCAGTGTGTAGGGGTGTCGCGCGAAATGCAGAAAATTTTGCGGAAGGGCACCGCAGAGCTCCCTTACTCGCGTCTGCTTCCCTTGGCCCCTCCCCTGGAACTGAATTACTGTGTCGCGAAATGATGCATGTCTAAAAAGTGTGTCACCAACATGAAAAGTTTGGAAAGCTCTGATCTAGACACTCCCCATTATATACAAATTTGAAAGGGGTTTTAGAAAAACCTCTCTCTACCTGTTCAGTTTCAACTGAATGATTAAAACAAGTTTAACTTGTAACAACAGTTTAAAATATTTTATTTCTTGCAAAAAGTATGGGAAAAAGAGATGGCAGAAAGGATTTAAATGCTTTACCTTCACAGCAATTTTCAGTGACACATCTTGAATAGTCATTAAGGGAGGGTACAGACGGCCTTCCTGTAAGTGTTTCTCTGAAACTTGTTGAGCTATCACCTAGAAATTAAACAGAAGTTAGATTTAAAATTAAACCCACAAACCTATTTTACATTACCCAGTTAGAAACTACTGTAGGAGGAACACTTTCTGATCTTGTACGAATGAACATTCAAGTTAGAACCAGAGCTCCTCGAGAGGAACATTGCAGATCCATGCCCATTTGGCTGGCTGGTGCAACTTAAACACTGAAACCTCAGCAGCATTGCCTGGTAGTGCTCATGTACCCCATGCAACTCTCTCATTGTACCCAAATATTCTGAGGATGAGGCTGTAAAAAGTGTGTGGGTACCTGTTCCTCACCCTGGTCTTTCTAAATGGAGCAGCAGCTGATTCTGAGGAAGAGATGAAAGTGAACAGGAAGCAGTACTTTCTTGATGGTAGTAAGGTTGGATTCAATATCCTACATAAAGACACATCTACCAAATTGAGTGCCTAATCTGGGTGCAACTTCCTGTACAAGCAGATAACTAAAATTCCAAGTGGCATATCTAATACTATCTGGCATTAGAATCTGCCTGAGGCATGTCACAGACAATTGCTCTGATAGAATGTGATCTAGTCCCAAACAGGGAGAAGGGAAAGGAGCAGCTGGTTATGTAGAACCATACAGTAATTGTTTTCTAACTCACTTTGACCCCCATTTAAGAGAGGAAAAAACCCCCTCAAGCACTTGGAAAATTCCTTAGTCTTATTCAGATAGTACTCTAGGGCCCTTGGTGCTCAATATACTGAATACTTATGGCTGAGGGGGGTAGGGAAGTAGACTTGTAGATTTATTAATAAATATGAAAGTTTGATAATACTTTAGGTAAGAGTTGCCAGCTGGGACAGAATACCACCTTTTCTTTTTTGTAATGCTGAATTAGGTGGGTCAGTCAGGGAAGCACGTAGCTCACTTAGCCATCTAACCATTAAGGCTAGGGAATTACACAAACTGGTATAAGTGATTGGAAACTGGTTCAAATATGTAACACAACAGAAGGTCAGTGCACATAAACCGCTTTCAAAACAGCCAAAAACATTTTTTAAGATAAACCTGGATAGATGGATGATCAGACTTAATTGATTTAGGTTAAATAGGTTTATTGAACTTCTGTGCCAGATCCCCTCCAGATTCAAGTTAACTCAGTCCCCAAGCTTCCCACAATGCTTTGGCCTCCCCTACAACCTCCTCCCCACCTTGCAGGGTGGGTAGGCTAGCCTCAGCCCAAGCTGTCTGCTCCAGCTGAGCAGGGAGGCGTTCTCTAGCACTCCCCAGCTTCTGGCCTAGGCCACTGCAGGCATGTGGCTCCATTTCCAGAATCAAAAGTGAATGTTTACTGGCTTACTGATTCAATCTACACAGCTTAGACTAACCTACAAAGATTGAATCAAATCAGTCTTGGGCTTTTTTATTGTACTTAGCCTAAAAAACAGCTTTAAATCAACAAATGTAATAATGAGCATTCTCTTGGTGGCTTAAAAGGGTACTTCATGAGTTGTGTCAGGTGCAAACTGAGGTCCCAGATGAAACCACTTCTTTTAAACAGTAAATCTAAACTGATAAACTCTTTCAAGAAATCTGTTGTGTACAAAACCAGATCTGTTATGTAACAGGCACAAGGTATGCCGATACAGCTGCCTTGGGATCCTCAACAAAAGATAATCAGAACACCCAAAACACTTGCATGATGTAAATAATCTGTTCAGGTGTTACAATGACTGTGTTGGTTTTTCACGCATCCCTTCCCAAACCCAGCCCAAGATTGTAACGCTTTCTGGTCACTATTTTCTAGAGTTTAGTAATACCTGTTGCTTCTTTAAAAGGGAAAGATCTTTAAAGCCTGTGTAGTCAGAAGCAGAAAACAGAAGGTCCAAATGATGAATTCCGCCTTGCTGAGGCAGCAATTCCAGCAATGTTAGATGGCTATACTTCTTTTGAAAGATGCAAAAATCCTGTGTACTGTTACTGCCTTAGCCATACTGGCACTACTGAAATAATTTTGACCCTAACCTGACCTGTCTTTCAACCACTTTCTGTATTAAAGCAAACTAAGGAAAACAGAAAACAGACTTCTGCAATCCAGGAGAAAAGGATCCAATATGGACTCTGTCCCTACCTGCTCTTAAATAAGAATGGTGCTTGTCTGGTGTCAGACAGATCTATAGCTGAAATCCCCACAGGCTGATGATATTACTTATTATCACTGCTTTTCTTGTTGACTATTTGAGAAGTTCATAACTGTTTAATTGATCCAATAAGCTGCTGCTCTTTCCTAGTGCTACTATGCATTCATTCACAGATTCAATTATTCTCTTCTACTGTGTCTAAGAGGAAAGCTACTGTTGATGAATGAATGGAGGACAAAGGCAGTGGTGCATACAACTAACTGTCTGTGGTTTCTGAAGGACCAGGAGGTTTTATCTAATAAAGTGCAGAACACTTTATGAGTGACCTCTGAACCTTGTCTCTATCTTTTTTAATATCTCATCATTAAATAACTCAGGGCCAATCTCATGGGCCATATGGCCCATGAGGCTGCATCTCCACAAGTGGGAACATGCGCTTTGTGGCACCTCAAAGCCTCTTGATGCACTGCAAAACGCAGACGGCACATATGAATTGGTTTGCTGCGCTGCATATCTGCAGCTTGGTGGCAAAATTAGATACGTGGAACTCTTGGTATCTAAACAAAATAAAAATGGGGGGACAAAAAAGTGGCACAGCACATGTGGCAGCAGCATGCACTGCCTGAAAAACAGAGCCTGGCCAGACAGCTGTCACCACCACTGCAGCCCCAGGAGACCCCATGTAAGGGTGCTGGGGCCAGCCCAAGTACTGGCCCCAGCCTCCCCTACCCCACCCAGGGCAATTTGCTGCACGCCAGAGAACGTGTGCAGGGGCATTCCCTGGGGAAAACTACCAACAGCACAAATGTGTGACAAATATGTGCTGCTGCTAGTTGTTCTTGGGAAAGTACACGTTCCCACTTGAGGAATGCGCCCTGAAGGGCTAATTTGCACATCTCTGCCCGCAAGCTTCCACCCACAACTCCTGCTATTGATTCAGCTGTAGCAGCAGCCAGGATTTCTGGGCTCCCCCTCCTTCCCCTGGCTTCTGCTTCCTGCATTTGCCCCTGGGGCACTTCATGATACAGTGAGGGAGTCTGCAGCTGGGGAGCCAAGGGTAGGGGCTGGGATACCCACATGGTGCTGTGCAGCAGGAGAGCATTTGTGGTCTCCAATGGTGCAGTCCACATGGCATGCAACCCCTGATTGCTTATACATTGGACAGCCCTGAAATAACCCATCTTCTTTAAATATGTATCTTTCCCTTTAGATTTAGTTTCTGGAATCAGAGCAGAAGATCTCAACCAGACATGTCTTCGGATTCTAACAGCTGATGCAACTATCCTGGCTGTTCAGTTTGAAATATTAAGAGGCTCAAAGGGCTTTTCTTCAAAATAATTTGCAATTATCAATACAGTAGCTAATTTGCATGGATCTTCAGAACACAGAAATGCTGTTCAATAAGTATTATTGATACCGCTTGATACTGCACAATCACTACCTAAAAATTAGCTTTCCTAATGATGAGAGAAGATGAGAAGACTGTCTGTTAATATAATATCTCCTTTCACCATATTTATCAGAGAATGTGAAATGTAAATGATTCCTTCTAAGTCTACTCATGAGCCTACCACTCAATGGGTGCATCTACACATGCAATTAATTTGAAACAAACTCTGACACACATTGCTCTGGAGTTTATTGCTCCCAGGTGCTGCATTTGAACATAGAGCTGGGACCGCAGCACACTGAGCTAGGTCGGAACAACCTTGGATGGCAGAGGGCCTGGGAGGTCAGCCACCAGCCCAGGGCTGCTCCAATCTGGCTCAATGTGCTTGCTGCAGAGGGGCTGACTGGGGCACAAGGGTGTTCCAGTGCTGGTCTAGGTGACAGGCAGCCCCCACACTGGAGGACTCTCACACCCCAGCCAGCCCCATCAGCATCTATACATGCGTTGCTGCACACTAAAAAAACTCTGACACAGGATAGTACTTGTATTTACAAGTATTAATTTGCAGTGGAGTTTTAATTTCCTGTACCCCTGTGCACATCTAGATGCTGAGACATTTACTGCAGACCTAATTAGGCAGCTCTGCAGTAACTGTCTTGTGTAGATGCACCCAATTAAATTTAGCTTAAGATGAATATGAAAGAAGGAGAACTTTTTAGGTGGCAAATTGGTCTGCTTTTTTGGAGAGAGGCTCAAAAGATGTGGTGACAGACCATGTTGCTTTTCATAGGCTGTATCAGTCCACCTAAAATAAACAAAGAGATCTTATTCTTTAAAACATCACAAGTACTGAACAGGAGGGATTTTTTAATATTAGTCAGGTGTTTTTAAGACATGACTATCATCTTCACAAACTTCCACAACCTTTTCATCTACAGATAATCAGATTAGAATTAAAATGGCTCTGATTTCATCTGAACCACAGGCTTTTTTTCTTCTTACAGACTACTGGGATAAATAATGGGAGAAGGCTTTTTAAGAATAGAAGTGGCTGAATCAGGGAAGCTTCAAAATGATGGATATATTTCTCCTAGATCCTCTAGGCATATAAAAGTTTCCATGCCAATGAGGCAAAGAGTTTCCTTGAAAAGTTAAAATGTCTGTCAAGTACATCATACCTGACCTGGAACTCTGGAGTGGCACCATTGGGATGGAAGGAGCAGGGAAAGCCAACTCCAATAGCATCCTTTTGCGCAAATGCATGGAGCACAGTCCTGTCATTACAAAAACCATCTTCAGATACAGTGACAAATACAAGACCACTTGGAGACACCTTTGCTCTAAGCCCTGGCACCTCCTTGACTATGTTACTCTTATCAAATGGATGTCCGCATCACGTGAGCCGAGTGAGGAACTGATGACTACTCGGCAGATCACCATTTTATCAGGTCCATTACGAACATCCAGCTGGATCCAAAACACCAAAGGACAGCCAAAA